CAAAGTTATATACAATAAAAATGAAAAGAGGAAATAAAATAAATATTATAATTTATACAAAACTTACCTCCCCGACAATGGCGCCAAAAACTAAATAAAAGGTATAAACTTGATATTAATGAAAGCAAAGTGACACGACTAAAAGATTGATGTCTTCTCCCAAGTGCAGGAGTGTCGAAGTAATAAATAACCCGTCAAGACCAGGGTCGAACCATAGAGAGGTTAATTATACAAATTATAAACAACAATAATAACAATAACAATAACAACAACAACTATAATAATAATAATAATAGTAGTAATAATAATAATAATAATAATAATAATAATAATAATAATAAAGAAAGAGAAGAAGAAGAAGATGATGAGAACTTGGAGATAGAATATTAATGTAAGGATTAAACAATGATAATAACAAATGTCAAGGTTAGAGGTTCCACTAATGGTATGTCAAACAAGTATAGTATAAACTCTTATTATTCAATTGGAAACCACACACAAAGGAGGTTCCAATCAGATTATAGATTGTTAACATGATTACATTAGTCATCTTATTCGATTAATGCTAGTACTTGTAAATCTCGTCAAGCATTCATGATTATAACTTATGTTAACAACAAATCAAGTTCCTTTCATAGCTCAAGTGTCGGTTATACCATACAGTATGGGCTATGAAAGTTCCAAGCATTTGTTGTACCAAGTGTTATACAACATAAATCTAGATTAGTCATTTAATAAGCAAAGTATTAAAGAGTGAACAAGATAACAAATACAAAACATGTTAGTATCAAACATTAAAGTCCATAATAAGTTTACATTATACTTATTCTTACACCATTAGTGCAACCTTTTCACCTTGACATAATAAACTTAGCTAGACATAATGAAAGAAAGAAAAATAGATAAACAAAATAAGAACATAAAAGTTAAAAAATAGATAAACAAAATAAGAACATAAATAAGTTAACTAAGTAAAGGAAAGGAAATGAAAGGCATAAACTTGATATTAATGAAAACAAAGCATAAACATTACTAAAAATACAAAGAGAGAAAGCAAGAGCATAATCTTGATCTGGACACCAAGATGCCTAAATGCATGGCAAATGCCTCCTTTTATAGGCCAAAATTGAGAACTATTGATTTGATGACTAATTGATGAGTGGGTGGCCAACTCTTGACTTGGTGACAATCCTTATCTTCTCTCGTCTGCCCAAAATGTTATTGATAACGTCAAAATTGGAGCCACTTGAAAACATCAAAATTGGAAGACAGATTCGGGCTTCTTTGTTGTTGCTACAATTTGGATTTGAAAATAGCCTTTTTAGATCTTGAGCTCCATATGAAAGTTGTAGGCCTATGTCTTACCTTTCTATCCATATAAATTGGACCTAAATCTGAGATCTACAGCTCTAGATATGACCTAATTACAGAATAGTATTCCGGTTTGGATTGCACCGACATCTTTTTTCTAAGTTTGGCCATCTCTTTATCATTTCAATTTCAATTCTTAAATTCATCAATCAATCCTTTCATTTACGTGATAGACCTACATTTAAAATAAACATTTACCATAAATTAAAGGTATCTTATATTATGAGATATATTATTATAAAACATGCTTTAGTTAAGGAGTTATTGATACTTCAAGTGCAAAATGATGATATAAAACCTTGATAAAAATGCACTTTTAAGTACTAATCACCTCCCTATGATTCGACCCCGGTCTTGCTAGGTTATTTATTACTTCGACACTCCTGCACTTGGGAGTAGACATCAATCTTTTGATCATGTCAATTTATCAATATAGAGGTGGCTGATCAAGGACAAAATATTATCAAACTCATTGAACTTTTGATCCTTATAAAGGAGATGTTTCCAAGTCATGTGGTAGTGGTTGGAGCTTATGAGATGGTCGGAGATGCAATATTTGTTTGCCTGAAAATAACAATTCAATCAACCTTGTAGGCTGAAGGAGATGAAAAGATGGTTAGACAATGTGTCACTTATTTTTCCATTAAAGTCTTGAGTGATGTGTCATTCATTTAAATTCTAAAATTTAGGATTTTTAAATAGCATTTTAAGAAAATTTCAATTTAGTCCATATCTTTCTAACTTAAGCATATGAATTCTCAATTGACCTTAAAACTTTTTAATTTTAGCAATTACACAACTAGAAACCTTGATTTAAATCCTTTATTTGATCATCTTTTTCTCTTTGGTCTTTGTCTTCCAGGTTATTTAATTTCATCCTTATCAATCATTTAACTTTTGATTTCTTTCGAGTAGACCCCTAATTTCATTAATTTTAGTCCGCAAACTCACTCACTTTATGCACTTTTGTTCTTGGTTTTTGAAATTCTTCAATCTAACCCTTAACAAGCCTTCAATTTTTAAATTTCTTTCAATTCAACTATTGATTGCACCAATTTAGCCTTTTAAATTTTCAATTCTGTCCTTAATTTTTTAATCTTTGTGAATTGATCTGAATTAGGTCTCTAAACTTAATTGTTTTTCAATTCAATCCTTGATTGAATCCATAAAACTATTAAAAGTAAATTAAGTCCTTAAACTTAATTAGTTCTTCCAATTTTGGCCAAATTAACTTTTAAATTTAATTTTTCTTCAATTAAGTCTTTCATTTAGCTAATTAAACTCATTAAAAGTTTAATTAAGTCCTTAACTTAATTAATTCTTCTAATTTTGGTCAAGTTGGATTTTAACCTCCATTTCCTTTCTATCAAGTCTTTATTTAGGTCGAGTCAAAATACCCCAGTCTAGTTATTTTGGTTTGTTATAGCTCAAGGATTTATCTCCTTGTATCCCAAAAATATTTTTAAATTTTAAATTTTTTATTTTTAAAATGTATTTTTTATAAAGTGATTTTCTGAGATCCAAAATAGAATTATGATAGCATACATCATCCAAAAATTGTTGGTGCCTCTTATCTAATAGCACGTGAAGAGTACACACTAGCAACCTTTTGAATTTAAAAATTAGTAATTAGACCAAAAATTTTGCCATGAATTTGGAATTAACAAAAAAAAATAATCTCCTTGAAAGGATGAAAATTTACTTGGACATATGAGCTATTCTTCCATGATTTTAAGTGTAAAAATGTTTTTTCACTGTTTTACAAGTAATAAAAAGACTAAAATGCTTTTAGTAAATAATTATAATTTTTTTAATATTTAGAGTAAATCAATCATTTTATTATTTTAAAAAATAAAAAAATAAATATACTCTATGATAATTTTTTAATAAGCAATAAGTTATAAAAAAAATCAAATTATCCCGATAACAAAATGAAAAAAAAAGATATAACTCATAGTAATTTTTTAATGACCAATAAATTATTAAAAATACTGACTTATCTCCTATACAAAGACAACCAGTTTAACAAAATATGATGATTTTATTATAATAATTTAGAATAAAATGTATCTAGTGTTATAGTAAAAAATTCATGGCCGGTAAGTTTTCGCATAATATATATGTTGGAATAAAAATGAGAATATCACCTGCTATAGAAAAATTTATGCGCTATAAGTGTTTTTATATATATATATATATATATATATATATTGGAATAAAATAAGAATATCACTGAGCCGTGCAATTGGGGACCAAAACTCCATTCTACGGAAAAAAAAAAACCTAACGTTACCTCATTATTTTTATATATTAAATAAATGTATAAAAGGAAAGGAAGAGCTACCCCACACGGCGGCTCCAGGGAGAGCTACAATCTTCGCCCTCGGCTTCCCCTTTCCTCCCCAGACATCAATCAATAGGATGTCGAATCCAAACACTACTAATTCTTCCTGGGAAACTGTTTCTCGGATCCTTACGGAACACGAATTACCCTTTTAATCTCTTTTGGGTTTTTGACTTCGAGAGACAACAGCCAATTGCACAAACCTTAAGAAAACGTTACACGGCATGGAAACCGAGGTTTCGAGTTCGATACCGCCGTCAACTGTGGATATAGAGGAGAGAAACAAGGATCGGGTGCGCGTGAGGAGAAAAACCTTGAAGGTAGTGCTGGAGCAGTGCCAGAGAGCTCTTGAATTGCTAAATAACGCTGACGGAGTTGACGATGACGGGGATACCAGCGGAGAGGAATCCAAGGAAGTGGAGTCGTCGCCGAGCCAAGACAGCTCATCAACTTCCCTTGGCGATCAAGAAGCCGATGAGGTAGAGTTTTTGGCTAATGGCCTTGTTTTCTAATTGATGTTATAGGTTTTCGATTGCAAGAAAACTTTATTTATCTAATAACTATCCATAGATATTTAATATTTGGATGAATTTAGAAGGAAAAAGAAGGAAAGGATGCTGTGAATTATTGGAGTTAAACAAATAAAATGTAGAAGAGAGAGTGTTGAAGTTTGCTCCCGAGATGTTGTCTTTTTTCTTTTATCTCTCTCTCTTTCTTAAACTTCATAATTCGAGGATACGGTTAGTATTTCATAGACAACTAATTTATTTGGATAATATGGACATAACTGATAACGTGGAAGAAGCTAGAACTTAGTATTTCCTGGATGGAATTTGCTTGGCTGTTTTATTTGGTTAATTTGCAAAATTGAGTGTTATTTAAGCTATCTGTGGTTCAGTAAGACGGCAATCACTTCGTTTTCCAAATTTTTATTTTCTTTTCATATTTTGATCTAGTTATGATATCGGGGGCCAAATATTTTTTTTCCTGATGCAGTTATGCGACCTCCTCAAATCGAGAGTTGAATGCCCTGACTTCCTTGAGAAGCTTGAGTGTGCTCAGCTCTCTGTTTCACAAAACATTACTGGTAAGTGCTGAGAGATGCTTCCTGCCATAATATAGCTGATCTGTTGTTATCAATTGCATGTAGATTTATTTGTATGTTGAAGTTTATTTGTAGAACATCAGTGCTTGGATATTTAGGATGGTAGTTTCCTCATTATATAGCCTAGATGTTAATGAGCTCTTGTATGGTGGCAGAAGAAGGTAGTTCTTGGGACATGATCAGTGAAAATGATCTCTGGGAAGCTGAAATTGATGAATCAGATCAGGAAGATTATGTCCTTGTGCGGGAAGAAGATATAGTAGAGGGTATCGCGTGCTTCATGGCTGCCTATTTGTTGTCTCTTAAACAGACAAAGGTATGTGGTGTTATTAGTTCATGGTACCTTTTCCATAATTGTTGAAATAATAAATTGTGCTAATCATTGTGATCTTCTTTGGCGTTTCTGCCATCAACCCTTTTGCCCTACCTGTTGTATCTGTGATCCACAACTGATCCACAACTGTTAGGCGAATTCTCCAGGCTGGTTGATTCCCAAGAATTTATAAAATTAGTCTCATCTATTGCTTGTATATCAGCACAATAAAATACATGGATGTATGTGCATATGCACCGAGGCACTACTGCACACATGGGTACACTTGTAAATACAGAACATTGAGGGGTAATCATATTAGTGAATAGGAGCTGTTGGAATCTATAATTTACATCTTTTTTGGAGGAAAACCTTATAACATACGTGTCCATGCAACCAATGGATATTATTAGAATGAAATATCCTGTTTGACCACAGTTTGCAGCTGTTTTATTGTTTGATGCAAGATGTTGAGTACTGAACTGTGTTTGTTGTATCACCACAATAAGTTGGCTTTTAATCCGCTGCATGTGGGCTGCAAGGAAATTTTTTGGTGTCTTTAGTGCTAACACAGACATTTTGTCCGAGATTCTTATTTGGGTACTTTCTACTTGCAGGATTTGGCCCCAACGCAACTCCAGGAGGGTCAGTTCAAAGCTTTTATAATAATTTCTAGTCCTGTTGCGAGCACATTTTATTCTTCATCTGAAATAATCTTCCTTTTCAGCACTTAATGCAAAAGAATTCTGACATTTCCTGTTATATTTCTTTTAGCCCTTAGCAAGACATTCTCCGTAAAAAAGAAAAAAGGAAAGCTTCGGAAGGCATGGGATGGAAGCAAAGTCATTTATAATGTAGCATCTTGGGGAGCAACTGCCATTGGGTAGGCTATCTAATTTAAATTGTTATTAATTTAGTGGTTTTTCTTCTTGCATTGGTCATCTGATTATCTTTATGTTTGGTTTTCTTGCACACAATATCCATTAAGTCTACATTTTCCTCGAATGATATTTTGATATGCATATTATCATTCAACTATAACTGGAAAGAAAATTTTTGTTGACATTCTCCCGATGATTTTGGTTTCTCTACTTAACAGGTTATATCAAAACCCTATACTCTTTGGGGCTGCCTCAAAAGCCTTCTGGACTTCCTGTCATGTTATCTCCAAGCTTCTCTGATGTCCTTGGTACATGTTGGGATCTACTGTTGTATTCATGCTTGTGCTGCCATTGCAGCTTGGAGTTTCACCTGTGAGCCATTCTTTTCATGCTACAGACGAATTGATTTCCCTGACATCATTTAATCTGTAAATATTCTTCCTTGTCAAGTATTTCCAAATGCCAATTCAAATTCATTGGTAAGATGAGATCTTGTTAGTTGTCCCCTGGACTCCCCTTCCAAACTGCACAATTGGGTTTAATGAACAGAAATGTATCTACGGTGTTTCAGTTGGAAATTATGAATTTTCATTTTCCATATTTTCTGGCGTAATGAGTTTGCTTGGTGGTAAAAGGGAATGTTTTGGACGTACAAAATTGGTTTGGTCACACAACTAAGCAAATGTTGGCGTCTTCCTATCGGAACCATTTTACGTGGAATCTAATTCAGAGTTAGATTGAAGAAAATTTGTAGCTCTTGCTCCTGCCAACCCATTACCAAGAAGCCCGTTTGATAAGCAATAGGCGAAAACCTCTACAGTTATCCTTTATCTTTTTGGGTAGAGCTCTTATAGTTTTGCGTATAAGCAACAGATGGAGGGGTTTGTTTGGATGCCGTAGATATTGTTTTTTAAGATTTTTTTATTTATAAATATTTTAAAATAATATATATTTTTTATTTTTTTAATCATCAAGATATTAAAATAATTTAAAAATAAAAAATTTTAGAAGCATGGTTGGATTGTAAGTTAAACAATGCTAAAGGGCTTGTTTGATGAATTTTTTTAATATATTTTATATGAAAATAATATTTTTAATTTTTGTTTTTTTATATTAACACATTAAAATTTTTAAAAAATTTAAAAAGTATGATTTTACTGGAATAACCAATAGTAACGAACACTTGATTGCAGATGAGCCATTTCACAATTGCATCTTGGATATACGTTTAACTCTTTGGAAGCATTTTTGCTCTTTTTTCTTCCTATATTTTTTTAAATTTTCTGGGTTAAGGTGACCAAATATATTTTAGAGCTAGGCATTAAAATTAAAATTAAAAAAAATGGATCAATATTTTCCAGAATATTTTGAGAGGGAAAACACGGTGGTTTCACCTAAACATTTGATCCTTGTTAGCTTGGAATTATTGGACTTATTTCACAATTTTCTTTTTACGAATTTATTACCTTATAAAAAATTATTTGATTTTACAAAAACATAAAATGAAATTATTGCTTGCAGGAAAAAAAAAAAAAACAAGGATTAAGTTTGTCGAGGCAGCATTGATGTGTTTATATATATATAAATGTTTAAAATGCACTTTTTTGAATAATTTTTACAATTTTTAGTTCTTGTTTAAGATATAAAAAAGAAAGTCATAAAAAAATAATGAATAAAAAAAGATGTTGGTTGGTCATATTCCGGCTATAAAAACCTATTGATTTTAGTGTCAACAAGTTATATTCAATTAAAAGAGTTCTATTAAAGTGTTGTTTAGCTATAATATTGTCTAAAAAAAAAAATAGATTATGGTTCAAGAAATTTTTTGAATTCAGGTTAAATTTTAAATTTTAACATATTAAATGCTTAATTAAGATTATAAATAGATTATAAATAGATAATTTCATCAAGATTAACATACAAGCTATCCGCAGCTTGTGTCACTTTGTTCAAATGTTCTCTCTAAGTTTAATAACGTAGTTCTGCCATAATTATCAAGCTTAGTTGCTTCACAAGTTCATATATCACAACTCCGGTTTTGATATTAAACTTAGCAATAGATTGTTCACAATAATAACTTAGAGTCCGCTCTAGAAATCATCAATAACAATCATAGGAAATATGCATAAGAAAACAATCATACTTATTCATAACATAAACTAAAAAAAAAGAATAAATCTCACGATTCTTGAAATCTAAAGGTTTGTTGTGTCCTTGCAACTAGGAAAAGAGCTTAGCCTTGCATAACTATTGAACAATTACTCCTAAAGAATGAAGAATGCACAATTTTGAGTTTCTTAGAGGAAGGCGGCGTTTTTCTGCTCTTGGGTGACTGCCTCCCTTTTCTTCTCTCATTCTTTTTATATCGTAGGAAACCCTAGTCTCTATTTTACAAAATAGTCCTCCTTTAAGAACTTTGAGATAAAATATTAATGTAAGGATTAAACAATGATAATAACAAATGTCAAGGTTAGAGAATCCACTAATGGTATGTCAAACAAGTATAGTATAAACTCTTATTATTCAATTGGAAACCACACACAAAGGAGGTTCCAATCAGATTGTATATTGTTAACATGATTACATTAGTCATCTTATTCGATTAATGCTAATACTTGTAAATCTCGTCAAGCATTCATGATTATAACTTATGTTAACAACAAATCAAGTTCCTTTCATAACTCAGGTGTCGGTTATACCATACAATATGAGCTATGAAAGTGCCAAGCATTTGTTGTACTATGTGTTATACAACATAAATCAAGATTAGTCATTTAACAAGCAAAGTATTAAAGAGTAAACAAGATAACAAATAAATAAACTTAGCTTGTGTTAAGTTTACACTATACTTATTCTTACACCATTAGTGTAACCTTTTCACCTTGACATAATAAACTTAGCTAAACATAATAAAAGAAAGAAAAATAAATAAACAAAATAAGAATATAAATAAGATAAGAGTTAACTAAGTAAAGGAAAGGAAATGAAAGGCATAAACTTGATATTAATGAAAGCAAAGCATAAACATTATAAAAAATACAAAGAGAGAAAGCAAGAGCATGATTTTGATCTGGAAACCAAGATGCCTAAATGCATGGCAAATGCCGCCTTTTATAGGCCAAAATTGGGAACTATTGATTTGATGACTAATTGATGAGTGGGTGAACAACTCTAGACTTGGTGACAATCCTTATCTTCTCTTGTCTACCTAAAATGTCATTGATAACGTCAAAATTAAAGCCACTTAAAAACATGAAAGTTGTAGGTAATTGTCTCATGTTTCTTGTGTAAAAAATTCAGATTATCTCAACTTTTAGAACACCAGATATGGGCCAAACACTGAATAGTGCTCAGGCTGGAAGACAGATTCAAACTTCTTTGTTGTAGGCCTTGAAAATGACCTTTTTAGATCTTGGGCTCCATATAAAAGTTGTAGGCCTATGTCTCACCTTTCCATCCGTATAAAGTGGACTAAATCTGAGATCTATAACTTCAGATTTGACTCAATTGCCGAATAGTGTTCCGGTTTGGACTGCACCGACATCTCTTTTCTAAGTTTGGTCATCTCTTTGTCCTTTCAATTTCAGTTCTTAAATTCATCAATCAATTCTTTCATTTATATGATAGGCCTGCATTTAAAATGAACATTTACCATAAATTAAAGGTATCTTATATTATTAGATACGTTATTATAAAACATGTTTTAGTTAAGGAGTTATTGATACTTCAAGTGCAAAATGATGATATAAAACCTTAATAAAAATGCACTTTTAAGTACTAATGACACCCCTCAACCAGCTTATTACTAGTCTGTAGTAATCAAAACGTTAAAATAGAAAAATAATTAGCAAATTCCACAAGGAAGGTATTCATCATTCAACTTCCATTAATCTATCCAGATAAACAAACTCGTTAAATTTATATATCTGCTCAATACCTCTTAACAAGATATTAATAAACCTTTCTTTTGTGCTCAATATATCAACACATAATTATGGGTCTTTACTTGAAAGAGAACAAAATTCTTGTTCTAATGTTTAAGGTTAACTTGGATTGGGATTTTTTTTTGTTTTTAAATATATATACATGTAACTTAAAACATAATGCATCTTTAACCCATGTAATGAGCTTTCAGTTAATGACTCCCAAACTAGTTGGTCTTAGGGCATTAGGTGTTGAGACACCCCTACGAGCTTAGTAACTCAGGTTGTAGATACTGATACGTAGATAGTGCAATGTTTGATTCCTTTAATCTTTTCTCCTCAACCCATGTAACAAGCGTTGGGCCAATAGCTCCCAAATCAGTTGAATTTAGGGTATTAGGTGTTAAAACACCCCATTCGGGCTTAATTGCTTAGGTTAGGGAGGCTACGAAACCAAACTTATCTATATTTTTATTATCATCATTTTTTTTATTGCTCTTTGTTTTCAAATTATATACCATCCCTTTCTCTTAGTTGTTACCTTTAACAAAAGAACGTAAATAATGTAATAATCCAATATGCAACCCACAATCATATGTTAAAGTGTGTGTGTGTATAAATTAGGGTTTAAAAATACATATTAAATAAGTATATAAGCAGAATTAAGTGATAGTAATGCAAGAGTTTGTAAACCTGAATATTTCAAGAAGTATTATGATAGACCTTGTTAAGAATGGTTACTAAGATGCGTCTCAAGAGTCATAAAAAGATCTCCTTTACTCTGCCATTATAGTAACAACAATTTTGCATATACTTTATGAAATAGAAAACACAGTTAGTTTTTTTCTTTAACTACTACCCTAACTGAAACGAGACATTGTCCTCAATGTTTTAAGAGAGAAAGATAGAGTATAGAAGATATCACCTGAAATAACAAACACTGACAAATCTGAAACACACTGAAACAAATATAAGAAACAACAAAACACAATAATAAAACCAAAAGACAGAAAGATTCACAAATGAAGGCTCAAATCTAATTTAAGCTTTTTACGGCTTTTCTTAGATGACCAATTTATGCGACTCATGAAGGGATCAATCACAGGAATGAAAGATTATAGTTGGTCAATCAATTATTCAGCAGTAGCAGCAAAAATTATAATTTGAAAGAGAAAATTATGGTAGTAAATTTTTGTAATCGCATTCTAAGGCAGAGCGGGAAAATACTTTTTCAATTTTTCAAGATTAGTGTCCATTGTTAAATGAGAATTGAAAGAGAGATTCAAAGAATTGCACAAATATATATACAAATATCAGTTATTATGGGAAACTGAAAGAACCGACTTAAGTCACGGAGTACCGTTGTCCGCCATTTGACCAGGGTTAGAGAAACTAGCAAAAATCACTCAAAAAGAAACACAAAAACAACATGAGAAAAAAAAATCAACCTTTAACTACAAGATCATTCAAACCAGTTGATTCATGTTCACTAGGAAACTTATCAAAGTAAGCTTTTGTAAAGAAACGTCATGCAAAACGACTAGAAGTCTGTCATCGATGTGCTAGATGGACTTGTAATACACAATGTCGTTCTTTAGGAATGGTATCTATAAACCGTGAAGATAAAATACAATTCATTAGATAATCTTCTATGGACTCTTGAGACGCATCTTAATG